CTGTGACAGAAAACAGCATGATTAAACCACTGGCTGATTTTTGCACAAATCAGGCCGAGATTTGTGTCTACAAATACTGTTTATAAATTCGAACAAGCAGCTTGGAGGTCAGCGATACCTGGTGGAAGAGAGGAGAAGGAAAAAAGCTTATTATAGGAATGCGCAAACTACCCAATCTGTACAGCCTGAACAATAATGCTATTTTTTCCCTAGTTATTCTAGGATGAATAACTTTTAAACTATTCTTGAATATGGAAAAAAAAAGATCAGTTGAACCAGATGCTTACTTATTCTTATCTATTTTGGAGAACTAATTATTCCTGTTGTTGATGGTATTAAAGCTTACAAAATTGCTTCCATCTTTGAATTACTATAATTAAGATGATAACTTCCACATCTAGTTAACACTGCTGTGCAGCTGCTGCATTCATTGACATGCAGATTTTGGATTTTGTAAATTTTTTGCTTTTGTGAACAAAAATTTTAAATGCGTATTTTCATTTCCAAAATGGCTGTTTCTGATGGGGAAGCCTTTATAAGACAAATCAACCAAAACGAATCTTTTCTAAAAACATCAGAGGAAAAACTACTTAAACTTGCCTGGGCAACATTATGCTTAAGCAATACAAGTAATCACAAACATCCTTTGTAGGTGTAATCATTCTGAGCTGTGCCGTGGCTTTGTGGTTTGCTGTATTGCAGACATACCCTGGGTCACGTTGGGTGTCTGACTCTTGAAATTCACGTTTGAAGAGTTAGCAGTTAATGCATGAATCTATTCAACGTGGGAAACTTGGGGTGATTTACAAAGCTAAAATTCTGTAATTAAAAACTGCTAATATGATTCATATATATTAATGGCTGCTAATTAAAAGTGCTTTAAGCTGTAATTTTTCTGTACATCCTTTTCACCTGATGCCTGGTTTTCTGTCAAAGTGTACAGTCAGGCTCGTGCTGCTGGTGCTAATCTTGTTTACTTGCACATTCAGGATTTTCTGCTACGAGATGTATTTTTTTAGGCCTATCAATTTAGATAGCTTTTGAAAACCTTCATTAGTATTGTTCATTTCTAATAACCAGCAATGTTATGGTATGACTTGATCCTGGTGGCTGGTTGTTTATTTTTAAATTGGTTTTCTATGGCCCTTGTTTTCATTACGTGAATGCCTCAGCAGACATTAATCACTTTTGCTTTGCAACATCAGCGAGAGGCAGAGACGCACCGTGAGTTGTTAAAATAAAGGATCAAGTATTGATCTATGCTGAAGCCAAAAGATTGTAATAATTAATCCCTTTTTAGCGGGTCGGTATAACACTGCATAGCCGGGGTGCGCGGGCGGGCGCTGCCCGCGGCGCTCCGAGGGCGCCAAAAAAAGCGCGTGGCGGCGGCTCCAGGACCCACTTCCCGCCGCCCCGTGCCCTGTCCCGCAGTGTTCGGTTTCAGGAATGCGCTTGCAGCACCGCGGGCCACGGAGCACATGTTATTTTTACCACAGGGAGCAAAGTGAGCTCCAGAAGCAGCAGGGTTTCTGTGGCAATGGCAGAGAGGCCTTCTTACAGATCTCGCTTTTTCCCCCAGATGGCGAAGACTTGGGTTGCTGCAGGGCTCTGCTGGGCTTCCCCATTCGGTGGCCCGTGTGTCTGCGAGCTTCCGAGCAAGGTGCCGGTGGCCGCGCAGGGCTGGGGCGGGGGGCAGCGATGCGAGTCGGGGTTTGGGTTTTGAGCACATCCCAAACGGCCTTCGCTGCCGGGAACACGGTCCTGCAGCGCCAGGGCAGGAGAGCAGCCCGTGCCACTGAGCTCCGGCTCTGCTTAAACGAGAAGAGCTGCGGTGGGGGGTGGTCTCTAAAATTATGAAGTGGGATCTAAGAAAAAAAAATGTTAACGAGACCCATACTTAATATTAAACCGCAAGAGTGAAGGAAGGTCAGGGTTAGGTTCACTTTGCATTTAATTAAAATAGCAAAACTTTGGCTTATAAACAAATCATAACGCTTGGAATGCCTGAGGAGAACCTTATTTTTGTCGTTAAAATACCCAGTGAGGCACAGATGACCTTTTCCCTTTCTGCTTTTTCCCATTGCTGCTGTTTTTTGTGTAGTTTTGGGGCAGGGAAACTTAATGTTGTCTGAAGAATTTGTTAACAGTAGTAAGCAATAATTAATGCAATTGAAAGGATTGATCGTATAAGCTCCTCATTATCGTAGCCCAAGTATTTCAGTATTGAGACTAGTGCCTAGCTTAAGTGCCTCTTCCAGGAAAGCATTTTGTCTTCATTCAAACTATTCCAAAGATTAAATGATTAGGTCCTATTTCTTTGGCATTACTTTCTAGCTAAAGCTAGCTGTGCTTCTTCAATATTTAGCTGCTTTTATTTGAGAGATTCTTAAATGGAGTAACAGTGACTTCTTGGAGTGGTGGCACAGTTGAAATCCTCATGTTCCCCCTCCTCTTTTTTTTCACTTTTTGTAAGTGCGAGAACTTCATCGCTGTTATTCTGTAATTTCTTCGGGATCCTGAAGATCTATTAAAGATTGTACCTATTTCCCAAGGGCCTTTCTTAGCCAGTAGGGAGTATACTGTGTCTGCGTATATATTTTTCTCATCATGTAACATGGATTTAAGAAATCAGGACATTCTGTTTTTAGCCTTTATGTTCAGCTTTTCCTTATTGGCAACAGACGTGGTTTGTGGAAGTGGCCAAATGGCCTTAAGAGATGTTCCCCCTTCCCTGGCTAGTGATCCAGGGAAACTGAAATTTATCCAGTTTTCGGGGTGTAAGGAGAATAATGGTTTATTCCTAAATTGGGTCTAGGCTTTCACTCAAAACCCATTCCCTCCTCTGCTGTGGTTCGTGTAAACCCGACCTTTTAATGGGTCTCAGCTGTGCTTGCTCTCCAGCCACTTAACTCTTTCTCTTGTTCTCTTGTGGTCCCTTATCTTTGCAAGTATAGCAGAAAAAATGGGTTTGTAAAACTTGGTCCAACTTGGCAAATGCAAGCAAGCAGGTTTTTTATTTTTCTTCCTTTTTTTTTTTTTTTTTTAAGCAGCTCTGAGTTTTGGATACTTAATATTCCCCATTATATTGTCTTTTAAATATACCAAGTTTCCATAGCAGGCTCCAGCCATCACTCTGGTAAAGTGTATTTTGGGAACCCTTTTTAATAAGGGGATGTGACTGTAGATGGAGCTTTCTTTTCTTATTGTACTAATATTTTATATTGAGCAAAATCTTAATTTCTTACATGGTAATTTGTATATGAACACTCTTTTTTTTTAATTGTGGAAGAGATTTGCTAGTAACATGAACGTAATGATTGTTTGGTATTAATGTTAGAATTGTTCTGTTTCTTTTTCAACAGTTAATGGAATAGAGCAAGCAAAGATATACCAAAAACCTATAAACGGAGATTTTAAGCTCCTTAAAATCAGGCTGTTAATTTTTGCTTATGATGTGCAGAATGGTAATCAGGTTTTGCATGGACTCTTGCTGAATAATTCATGACTGTAAATGAAGATGGTGTGGAATCAGTTGGATAATTTTGTGGAATGCTTTAAGTACACTAAAGAGCCAGAAAGGCAGTTAGTATTGCTCTAGCCTTATTGCAGTTTGTTATAGCTGGCAGTTCAGTTGTGTTCTTTTTTCTACTTATGGATTTCAAGCTTTGTATAGAACAACAACAAAAAAGACTCAGTAATTATTCATACACTGTGTCCTGTGGCAGCAAAGTAATTTTGCATTAAGCCGCAGTAATTGGCAGTCTGATGAGGGTATTTATTGTTGGGCTGCTCCAGAAGATCTAGCAACGCAGGAAGGATCCTGGCAGATGTTGGGATGAGAAACTGTGCGAGCAGACGGGCTCTGCGTCGCGTTGGTTGAACCAAGAAGGAGCTTCCCGTTGCGCATCTCGAGTTGTGCAAGTTCACGCCTTGCTTGCTTTGATTTGCATCCCTGCTCCTGTCTATCCACCAGCCCCATATCCAGCTCCATATGGGGTTTGAAGCTTGTTTGGAGAGCCCCTGGTGTAAGCGGAAACATCCATGTGACCCTGGAAGAAAGCTGGAGTTAAGAGTTAATAAATGTAAATGGCCGGTTGTGAGGTTTTGCTGGGGATCTGAGGCTGCTTGTTCAGCTGAAGCAACAGAGAAAGTGGGAGTAGGAACAGGATTTAAATACCCTGTTGCTCTTGTTCACAGCTTGCCTGCTCTGGAAATGTTTCCCTTGTCCATTCCAATTACTTTTATGATCTTTAGAGCTAATGAAATGCTTGTTAGGAGAAATCATACTACGGTGAGCACATGGAGAAACACATCCGACTTCATTTGGTTAATTCTGAAACTCTGATTAAAAATGTCCCAGATCCCTCGTGCTGAGGTGTCTTTTTCTTGGCCAAAGTGAGGGGAGCTGATGAGAAAAGGGCTCCGGCCTCACTTTGCTTTGCACAGGGTTAGTTGAGTGTCTCTGCATGTGCCCATGAGAAGTTGGGAATCTCAGATTTGAATGTTGTTAATAAACCTGCTCATCTGTTGCCTTGTGCTAACATCTTTGTCATTTTAACTCTTTCCAAGGAGTGTGCTCTAATTTCTCCCCGCATTAGCCAGTAACTGTAATGAATTCACAGGCTGTGTTGCGCATTGCTAAGAATATCTGAGGCACTTGAGTATTTCACCAGTCGGGGAGTTTGTGTGTTTTGGAAAGCATGAGCTGCCCATGTGCTGTGAGCGAGGAATGTTTGCTCAGCTCTCTGGAGCGGTCCGTGCAGCAGGAGATGGAGGGTGCGTGTTGCTTCCAACATATTAAGCCTCTTATTGCTGACCAAGTAACTTTGAGCCCTGCGTGTTTCCTCCTGTGCAGACTTGGTGCCGAAATTCAGTGCATGAGGAAGGCATTGACCTAAATACTGAGGGATCCCTCATTAGCTAAAAGACATTTGGCAGGACCTGCCTTGAGATGTGCTCGTTCTCCTGACTCTGCCTTATAATTTATGTCTTTCTTGCAGCTGTCGGACAAGCAACAGAAAGAGTTTGATTGTGACCTCCAGCACTTCTCCAACGCTCCCGCGACCGCACTCCCCTCTTCATGGACACACAGGTAACGCTCCGGGACGGCTTTCCTGGCAATCATTAGTGATGTCCTTGGTCATTGCAGTGAGTTTGAACATGCCGATAGATCAGAGCACTCTCTTTGAAACTTTATCTGACCAAAGTTTTAAACTTTTTAAAACTTATAACAATGCCCATGTAGTTTCAAAATAAATGTATGTTATGCTTAAGACTGTGGTTACTGCAAGCTCTCATACAGAAGATGATTTAGACCACACTGAAATTTGGGGGATATTTTATTGGGACTTTGTTTTTTAGATATGAACAATATCCAAAAAAATACTGCTTCCATGAAAAGGAACAACTTCTAAAAAGCTGATTTTGTTCTGAGAAAAGTAGAAGTAATCTAAGAGTGTCTTCTTCATTATCTGTTCTGAGTTCTCCGCTTCTCTACCTTATCCTTCCTCCACTCTTTCTGGAGGGTTCAATCTTTTAGATCCACCACATTCTGCAAAAAAAAACCCCTTTTTTATCATCTCAGCAGCTAGGAGGTGCTCATTTCAAAGCAATTGGGCAACTGCTTATTAGTCGTCAGGGTGAATGTGTGGAGATACTTTCTGAAGGAAATTAAAGAATTGTTATTGATCCTGTGGTTGCTGTGGATTCTCAGAAAAGGTCCTCCCTGCCGATGTTCCAGGTTGCCCAAACAGCCCTTCCTGGGGTCCTTGTGGCTGAGGTGGGTGGATGATCGGTGACTACCTTGTTTCTCCTGTTTCCAAATACAAGAGAAGTTGGTTGGGCTTCTGGTGTGGCCTTAATGGACGCCCATCTGTAGCAGGAAGCAGCTTGAACGTTTGTGGCACGTAGGCATCAACAGCAGAGCCTGCCTGGAAGCTCAGCACAGTTGCGTGTGGGACAAGTGACTTGTTTTCCTTATATTCAGACTCTCCTCCTACTACATGGCAATATGTTCTGTAAATACTTTCTGGAGATGGAAACTTAGGAAACGCTGAGGAAGAACAGCAAATTGATAGTAGTTCAGCAGCAGGAGCCATCTGCTTCTGTTTGCAGAGCGTTGTATCTGGAGAGGTGACATCCAGCCTGTCAAAAGGGGGAAGAAAAAAAAAAAAAAAGACTAGCTTTCTGTCCAAGGTTACCCACTAAAGCCACAACTGTTATTTAAGCTTTCATAAAAATTGTCATATTTGCTCAGGATGCTGGAAAACCCAGTCATGGAAGGCTCAGGAACTACTTCAATTATATTGTTTTTTTAAATGACTCTTTAAAATAACAATTTAATTGTACTTTATTTATTTATTTATTTTTAACAGAGAAGTTTTACTGGTAGAAGTTCCCCACTTAGTTACTTTGTGCTCTTTACTTTGCTCTTAAAGTTAATATATATGTTGAAATGAACAAATTCTAAACTGACAATAAAAATATGACCAGAAAAAAATGCAGAAATGTACATACTGGAAACAACTTTATTTTCTTTTCTTCTGATGAGCTTTTCTGGTCTATTTTAATAATGAAAAGTTAGTTTTCTTGATGCTGTGCCAGGTTGCAAGCTTACATGTAACTAAGTAACATATAAGCTAGGGTAACTAATGGGTGATATGTTGTCTTTCTTTAGCTGTAATTGTCAAATAATCGTTTCCATTTCTTGGTTCTCATGTTGCACGTGGGAGTTAAAACTATTAATTAAAAGGACATCCTCTGTGACCTACAAGTGTAGCCAGCAGAGAACAGGAGGAGAAAGTGCTGGCAATTGGAGTTCTTGTGCAGTAATGTCTTTAGCAGTCTTCCCTGAGAAAAATCGTGGATTCAAGAGACAAAAGTAGATGGAATTTAGAGTAACGAGTGCTTTTCTGAAGAAATGTTGTATATATGTTATGACTTTGAGAATAAGCCATGTTATTTGTTTGAACTGTGTATGTCAGTCTGTCCCTAACCTGGTAAGTGCAGGAGCTTCTCTCTCAGGGGTTTCCATCTTGAGCAACTCCTCTTGGTGTCTGTCCTAAAGCTCTTCTACGAATCAGAGGAAACGTGGGAAGGCAGAGAAACTGGAGGGGCATCCAAAATTTTCCTATTTGAAATTACTCTAAAAACAAGTTCTCTATGGCACCTGCTTCAGAAGTTGCTCCTCTGTATGCGACCTACGTGTGGGTGTGATGCAAGACAGTCAACTGTCTAGCCGAAAAACCTACCTCCTAATGACCCCTGATCTGGGAAAATACAAGAAGACACCATTTAAAAAAAAATATCTGAAGAGCATCAAGATGAGATGTCAGGCGATAACATAACATTGAAAATGCTTGAAAATTTGAAGAAACTATAGTATGTGAAGAGACTTAAATGTTTGAAATGAATGAAAATAGATCCAAGCAACTTCAACCATGACATGAATTCACTTGTCACTGAGGGGCTCCTAATGTATGTGAAGTGAGTTGATTCAGTTTTTGAACTGTGTGTAATCCCTGAATATTTTCCAAAATGACCTAGGATTTTAGTATAGAAAACTACATCTTGTTGACTTCAAGCAAACATCCCTCTGCTTATTTAGTCACGAGAACTTGTATTGAAGTGCCAAGTTTTAGAAATACAGATTTTAAATCTTTCAAAATCAGAGGAAAAAAAAGTATACGCATATGCTTGGAGTCCATCTTAAATGGTCTGGGTGGAATTGCAAAATTGAGAATTGTATATATAGTAAGATGTTTAGTGCTGCAAATATTTTAGTTGCCCATGGGCTCTGCTTACCCTACAGAATAGCTTAACATCCACTTCAGATTTTTGAACTCTGCATACACCTATTGCTATCAAAATCCTAGATGCTTATTTTATTGCCTTTCATTATTATAATATTAGGTATGTTATACTCAGCATTATTAGAAGAGAAACACTACTTATACATTACTGCACTGTGACACATGGCAAAAGAGACTCTTAGAATTTTATAAACTTATTTATAAATTAAATTAATATCAATAATATTACTCTGTTTTAATTTCTATAATTTTGTTTTTAAAAAAACACAACTCATGTTATTCAGATAATAAACAGTAAAAGAAAATGCCAACCATTATATCTCAATTAATTCCTATTATTGCAGAAACTGAAATACAACATTTTGATAGTGCTTCCCTAGTGAGTTTTTTTTCCCTGCATTCATACACATGCAGAGGAGTAACATTTACTTGGCACGATCACTTTTAAGAATTTCTAGCTCCCTTTAGAAAATTATGTCACATTATTCTTAGTTTTATTGCAGGAGTTTGTACGGCTGTGCATGTGTTAACCGGTAACTGTTCACCTCCCTGTAATTGTTGGCAGATGGTTATGATTTTATTCTGAGATTGCTGAGTGATGCATCAAAATCAGGCGGTTGAAAATTGTTTTAATTTTTGTGTTTCTCCCTCAATTGGATGTCGTAAATGAGTTCAGATTACACCTGGTGGACTTGGGAATAAATGGTCCATGCAAATGAAGCACCAGAGTGAGCTTCTCAGTTAGTCTTGCGGAACTGAACCTACCAATTAAACTTGCTCTCAAATGTAATTTGTGCTTGCAGGAGAATGTGGTAGGAGTCCATTGAAGACTGAACGTTACTAGATTTCAGTCCTCGTAAAGGTTGTTTTTGTATTCTTATCCCAACCAAAATTTTAGTATTGATTTCCAAATTTTCTATTATCTTCAATTTTAGTTCTGCATTACCATGTGTGAATGCTTTCCCAGTATATGGCCAGTTAATTTTGTAAAGGAGAGGATTTGACCTATAAAAACAGTTTCTTATGAGCCTACAGCATTAAGCTTTCCTTCTTAATACTAATACCTGTGTTTTGCCCTTCTGCAATCCCTTAAAACTGGGTAGTTGTTCTGCTGCAACTCCCATAATACCTGCTGACATTTGAAACATCTCATTTATTTGAAAATGAGTTCTGTATCTGTCAATGTGTAATTTAAATTACTTGCTCTGAGTCTTCCTCTGATTAGTTCTGAAGTTTCCATGTGGAAGAGATGTATAGATATGTTCGGGATTTTTTCCAATTTGGAAAGCAGAGACATTGTGCACGGTCCAGTCGCTACAGTATGCAATCTCACATCAGGAGGGGAAATACCCTAAATTACTGCTTGATTATTTTTTAAAATTAAAAGCTTCAAAACAGTAGCAGAAGCAACAGCATCTTTATAATTCGGTTGGAATGAGATGGAGTCTTACAGCTTGAGGATTGAAGTTCAAGCTATTTTGAGATGTATTTTCCACTGCTGTAATGCACCCTGGCTTCCAGAGAAGACCCTTGTCACTGCCTGTGGGTTTGCGCTGTCCCCAGCTGCGATGCCGTGTGCAGGGGCAGCACTGGGTTAACTTTCTGTG